CAGCAATTCTCCCATTTCAGCCTCTCAAAGTGATGGGATTGTAGGCATGAGCCACCACCCCAGCCTTATGCATTTTTTTTTTTTTTTTGAGACAGAGTCTCACTCTGTTGCCCTGGCTAGAGTGAGTGCCGTGGCGTCATCCTAGCTCACACCAACATCAAACTCCTGGGCTCAAGCGATCCTTCTGCCTCAGCCTCCTGAGTAGCTGGGACTACAGGCATGTACACCACCATGCCCGGTTAATTTTTTCTATATATTTTTAGTTGTCCGATTAATTTCTTTCTATTTTTCGTAGAGACAGGGTCTCGCTCTTGCTCAGGCTGGTTTCGAATTCCTGAGCTCAAACAATCCGCCCGCCTCGGCCTCCCAGAGTGCTAGGATTACAGGCGTGAGCCACTATGCCCCGGCCCTTATGCATTTTTTATCCCTTCCTCATACAACTCTGTAAATATAAGGATGAGAGAAGAGATTTATTTTCTTCCTCATGTAAATTACTCCATTCTCTTGAGGAATGTCTCATCAGTTTGGGTTTTAATAACTATTTTTTCCTCCTAGGTATAATTCCTTAACCACAATTTTCCTCATATTTTATGGCGTTTTAGAGATATTACTGAATTCGTATTTAGTTTTGTTTTCTTATCTACAAAATTGAAAAATTGTATTATGTGATCTCCAAGGTTCCTTATTTATTTAAAATTATAAAAATCTTAGACTATTTATTTATATATTTTTCTTTAGCAATTGTATGCATCACTATCAGTTATCAGTTAATTTAAAAATCTAAGTCATGTTTTTTTTTCTTATTTTGAAGTGCATCAATGAGTCAAAACTCCAACATCACTTTTATTTTATTCTTCCCTCCCCAATTAGTTGATGCGCTGAAGACTGTAGGTTTTAGAAGCACAGATTCTTAATCTAAGGACTGAATATACCACTAGTGGATGGTTGAGAAATATTATCTGATCTTTACAATCTTCAGTTTTTTAGAATTTACAATCCTTTTACAAAAAGAATGATAACAGTAACTACCTCACTGAATTGTGGTGAGGAATAAATGAGATTATGTATGAAAAAGATTATGTATGAAAAAGAGTTTGTAAATGATCACTATCGAATGTTAATTAATTTGAGAGGAGAGAAGTGGAAACTGAGAAAGAAGAGGGGAGACAGGCTCTGAGCATGCTTTGCATCTTTTAGCAATGGAAGAAAATGATTCAAATTGCTCCGTAAGTAGGCATTGGTCCTGCACCTGCTTCCCTCTCTCAAACATAAAGGGCAGGTTTTAGATAATTTAATTGATATGAACTGCACAGCACGAAACTGCCTGGTTAAATAAATATATTATTTTTAATTGGTGTGGAGATATCTAGGGGAAAAAATCACAGATCCTCCAATTTCTGTTTACTTTTTGAAAGCCATCCCTATCAGGAAGTGAAAGTCCAAGCACCATAGAGCTGCATATTGTTTTCTATTCTTATTAGACTCTACAACCATTGAATTTCATAACATTTTAAAATGGAAAGAAATGGAGTATCAGCTGCTGGAGAAAGGAATAGAATCACAAAATTTTGCCCTAATGCAGGACAGTGTTGCCCTACTTCTAAGTGCTTCCCATCCATGGTTGATGTCCTGCTGCACTGCTCAAAGTGAGACAGTGAAGTTCCTTTCTTTTCCATAGTCTTTAAATGGCTTTGACACCACGCTCCAGCACTCATTCACTATCTATCGCACTCCTTGAATAAGCCTTGCCTGGTGGATGCCACACTCAGTGGCCTCAAGTTATCACTATTCTTTTGTCCAACCCTTCTGCCTGCCTTCTCAACTCAGCTGAAAGCACTCTCTCGTTGTCTTAACTAATCTTCCAGAGCTCTCGAATTTACCTCTTAGTACATAGTCAGACACTTAATGTAATTATTCTCACTTTCCTTTTCTAATATATGTAGAGTTTAACTTCCTCTTCAGTGACTTTTCTTATAAATGAGTTCTAGTCTCTCCAATTAAAATAAATACAGAGAAAATAGAGAAAACTATATTTTTTTGTTTGCTCTTTCTTCATCTTTCAGGGAAAATTCATTTTCCTTCCACTTGACTCTTCCCTTCTTCACAATCTCGAGTATGGTTTCTGTCCTGAGTCAATTAGCATCCTCCAGGAAGCAAACCTTAACACAGAATTGGAAGTGCAAAAGGTTTATTGCAAGCATGACTGCGATGGACAATGGGGAGTAACTAGGATGAGCCTTCAGACTGTGACACAAGCCTGTCACTTCTGAAGGGAGAAAAGGAAGGAAAGAATATTGCACAGAAAAAACGTTCAGACTGCCATGGCTTTTAAGAAAATCTCATCCATACCAGTGGGGTGCCCCCAGAGTGAAGAGTGTTCATTAGAGGAGCCCTAGGTCAGGCAGTATTGGCTCAGCTCTGCACCCCTGTGGTGCTCAGCCATTGCCTGGTGAGCGTGGCCTCGGAATGAATGCTGCTGTAGCCATTCCTGTGGTGCGGTAGCTAGACGCTGTCAGCTAAACATACTGCTGGCAGCTGTTCTCTCCAAAGAGAGATCTGAGCATCACACGTCCATTGGCTGCCACAGGAGCCTATGACTCTGATGAAGGTATTGAGTTCTTAAGTATGAAATGTCCGATTTCCTTACGGATTAAGTTTGACAGTTGATAATCTCTGACATTTCACTTTGACACTTCTTGTTTTATTTTTATTGTGAAGGTACATCCTCATTCTTTCAAATGCATAGTTTGGCTTGTGATTATCTTTCAAATTTTTTTAGAGCAATTTTTGTGAAACCATGGTTAAGTAAAAAATTTGAATTATTTTCGAATATGAGTTCCTTCATGGAACAAAGGCAGCGCAGACAGCTCGAAATATTAACGAAGGGTTTGGGAGTGTGGCACATGAACACACAGTACATCGATGGTTTCAGAAGTTCCCTTCTGGTGATTTTAATCTTGAAAATGAGCTACGTGGGTGACCTGAGACCAAGGTGGATAATGATGAGCTGAAAGCTGTAGTGGAACCAAATCCATCTCAACCTATGTATGAGTTACCAGCAAGGTTTGACATTATTATTCCAACAATATTGGACCATCTGAAACAAATCAGGAATGTAAAGAAGCTGGGTAGATTTGTTCTGCATGAATTAAACGAGTGTCAGAAGAGAAATCATCTCAAAGCTCGCCTTTCTTTGCTCTCATGATATAAAGGTGAATCTTTTCTACACCATATTGTTATGTGTGATGAAAAATGGATTCTTTTTGACAATCACAAGCATTCAGCATAATGTTGGATAAAAATGAAGTGCCGAAACACAGTGCAAAACTGAATATTCATCAAAAAAAGCTAAAAGCTATTTGTGTCTGTTTGGTGGTCCAACGCTGGTATTACCCACTACAGCTTCATGAAAGCTGGTCAGTCGATTACAGTGGATGTCTACTTCAACCATTGGATGAAATGATGAGGATACTTGTCATTAAGCAGCCGAGATTGGTCAATAGAGACAGGCCAATCCTATCACAAGACAAGGCTCGGCCACGTGTTGCACAAACGATGCTGCTTAAACTACAGAAGCTGCACTTGAAATCTCACTGTCACCCACATGTTTACCAGACATTGCACCAACAGAGTAGCACGTTTTCCAGGCTTTAAGCCACTTCTTGCAAGGAAAAATATTCAATTCTCAACAAGCTATGGAAAATGCCTTTTGGGATTTCATCTCTACTTGCTCTCCAGGCTTGTTCGCTGCTGGCATAAACAAGCTATCATTAAGATGGCAAAACTCTGTCCACAGTTTAGGCTCATACTTTGATTAATTGTGCTGCTTGTTGTTTGAGATATAATAAACTACACTTTGATTTGAAATCGTACATATCATATTTAATGACCTAGCACTTTCTCAGAGCTTAAAAATGACTGTCACTCCCTCTTCTCTAAATATGCGACATTTTATGGCTGAGTACTACTCCATGGTATGCATATACCACATTTTATTAATCTGCTCATGTATTGATGGGCACTTGGGTTGTTGCCACATCTTTGCAGTCAAAAACAATGGTGAACTAATATCTCTTGTATTATCCTGGATGGAGCTGGAGCACATTCTTCAAACTGAAGTATCACAAGAATGGAAAAACAAGCACCACATGTAGTCACCATTAAATTGGCACTAATTTGCACATATAGAAATAACATTCATCGTGCGTCAGGCAGGTGGGAGGGGCTTGGAGGGGATGGGTAAATTCACACCTAATGGGTGCGGTATACACTTTCTCGGGGATGGGCAGGCTTGTAGCTCTGACTCAGGTGGTACAAAGGAAATACATGTAACGAAAATGTTGTACCCCCGTAATATTCTGAAATTAAAAAAAAAATAACATTTGATGAGCTTCTTTTAGATTGACAAAAAATGTGCTTCTCCAGAGTTATGCTCTACTATAAACATATAAATAGTCTGTAAAAGCATTGCAACCAGCTATCTGATTCATTTGGTCTTTGTGATTACAGCCATATGCTACTTGCATCAGCAGGGAAATAAAGCTCTTCAGTGTTCACAACTTCAAAAATTGCCATTCAGTATTACTTTCTAGACAGGCAGCAGATATCCTACAATTCAAAAATTTTAATAATATATTTCATTTAGTGTTAATATTTTCTGAGTGCTTAATTGTGACAGACTCTGTTCTGGGTATTTTGTATGCATGAACTCTTCATCTGTAAAGCCCTTAAGTTACATTTTATTAGTATTGACATTTAATAGAAGAGAAACCAAGGCACAGAAAGGTTAAATAAATCTCTCAAGACCACATGACTAGAAAGTGGTGAAACCAACATTCAAACACAGGCCATTAGTCTCCAGAACTCAAACAACCAGTACATTTCCTGTGCCACTAATATCTAAAATACTTTTTTTAATAAAATTATTATTTGTGAAATATTGACCTAATATCTACTTTTAAGCATACATATCATGCAGCAATATGTTTTTTTTCTTTCAGGTCCCTGTATTCCTAATCCATGCCATAATGGAGGAACCTGTGAAATAAGTGAAGCATACCGAGGGGACACATTTATAGGCTATGTTTGTAAATGTCCTCGAGGATTTAATGGGATTCATTGTCAGCACAGTAAGTTATTCATAGTCATTGTTCTTTTATTATTATTGATTGCAGAGTATACAAGTCATTGTCATTCTTGTTTGTGGTAGAATCGTAGAATCTTAGAGCAGCAAAGAGCCCTAGCATTCGACTAATGCTGCTTTTCCCCCACTGAATATGCCATGTCCACAGCTGAGGACTCCCAGACCATGTTTCAGTCCTCACAGTGGCAGGGGGGCTAGTGGTCTTCTGGTCTGTCTTTTTCATTATTGTTCAGCTGTACTTGCAAAAAATTGTTGCTTATATCTGTTCCTGATATTTGTTCCTGATATCTGTCTCTTGCTTTCATACTTGTCCTAAAGCTACATTCTTCAAGCTTTCTCAAAATTATTCTGGTGATTATGTTCAGAGATGATGCCAAGAAAAGAAAACAAAACAAAACAAAACAAAACTGCTCACCTTGACCTTAAGTCAGTTTTCTCCTTCTTACTTCTTGGCATTTTTAGTGTGAAAATCTTTGAAAGTTCAACAAAAAGTATGTTATCTGCACTTCTTTCTTTTATCCCCTTTCTTATTTACCCTGGAAAGTTAAACAAAGTAAGTCCACTTGTTATGATTTCTTCTAAGAAGCAGGGCTAAATATAAATGCCAAATGAGTGTGGGCTCCTCACTGCTGTAGGTGTTCAGTTAGCAGCGAGGCTGTAGTGGACTCTAGGTTGTCAGGGGAGTTTCTTCCAAGGGGTTGCCACATGTGAGTGAGTCTTGAAGGAGGAATAGGATGTTGATAAGAGGGAGGGGAATGATTCATGGTAGGAAGAGTGGGAAGGGAATATGTGAGCCATGAATACTACAATGATAGATAAATCAATGGTATTAAGAATGACAAGGCAAAGTTGGGTATGTCAGCTAGAGCCAGATTTCCAACCACCAGCCAAAAACATAGAGTCCCTCCTGACTCTGAGACTGTGGGAGCATCTTGTGCTTTTCTGGAAACTCGCCATGGCCAGGAGTTTCTAGAATTTTTGTAGAAGCTGTTATAGCACATGGGCACCTAAGCTTCTTACAACTGGCACCTAAACTGCTTATAATTGTCTCTAAGAGCTAAGACCACCAACAAAGAAATGAGAGGCTACTGATTTTTCTCGTACTGGGTCTAGAGGCGCCAAGGCTGGGTGTCCCTGACAGTAGCATTACTACGCAGCCTTCACACACGAACACTTCCAAATAGCCCTGGAAAAATAGATAGGAGCTCAGACTCTTGGCCACCTTGACATTCACTTAATCCCATGAAGAAAATATTAGTAATTCTTCCAGGTAGAACCTTGTGATATGGTCTCATAAGCAGTGCTCAGAGAAAGACAGCTTGGCATGCCACTGAAACCTCTCAATTCCGAGTTGCTTTTATACAGCACACACACTTATGGAGGATTCCCCCGAAAAAAGAATAGGATTTCCATGATGGGGTGTTGTCCAGTGTTCAGAGGCAGGCCTTACACCCAAGGTCAACCTAACTTCGTTGTTTCCTATGGTGCAGGGCTCCAGGAGGGAGAAGGTAAGAGTATAAAAGGGCAGATTCTTACTGTTAGAAGAAATCCTCAAAGGGTTTAAAAGGACAATATTTTGAATACATGTATAGACTCCTGATATCACTTAAATATTTCACATTTATTAACCCTCCCACCTGGACTTACTGCTGAAGTCAAAGTTGGGGCCTGCCTCTTAACCAGAAATTGGGAAACTTTAAATCTTAGTTCTAATTAATGATATCTATACATTAACAGAAAGTTCTTTTCACATCTCCGAGATTTGTTTTCTTCATATTGTGAAGGTCAGTTTGGTTTCAGTTGTCTTTAATGGCCCGGAAGCCCCATTGAAGACATCAGGTCATTTGTTTGTCCCAAAATAAGTGAGGTTTCTCAGGAAAGGTGTTTCTGGATATGAGTACACCTGCCTCTGACTCCCTCACTTGGTTGGCTGTGAATTCTTTCAAGAAAGACTTCCGGTTTGGGGAGATAGAACAAATCATTTTGTCCTCATTCTCCATGGTGAGACATTCAAGTCTTTTCTTTCTTACCTCTATACCATGCTCAAATAAGCTCATAAATCCACATCATTTTGTTAAATTTCAAGGTTTACTTTGAAGTACAAAGATACCCTCCCCCTTAATACATCTGATCTACCCCCCCACACAAGATCTTAAACCTTTATTAGGAATTGCAATGAGAAGCCCCGGTCTGAGAGATTCAATTCAGAACTGGGGTATTGTTGTCTAATCCATCTGATCCCTATTCTCTGAAGTGCATCATTATTAAAAGAAACAAGAAAACAGAAGAATAAGGATTGTATTTGGAATCAGAAAGCTGGATTTGAGGCCTGACCTTTACAGTTATTGGATAAGTGACCTTGAGCCAGTCACCTGATCCCTTTTCAATTGAAGACATATAAATTGAGAAATTGAACTAGAAATAGATGGTCTTTGGTTCATATGAGCCAAGAGGGTATTATGACTAAATAGGTAGCTTACTCACTGTACAAAGGTTAGCAAGCCTTCCTCCTGATAGATGAAATTGAGAAGGATTATATATTGGGAAAGCAGATTTAGAAGTGCTGGGAGCCCTGAAAACTTCTTCAGGTAGAAGAACAGAAAAATACACTTCTTTAATCTTTTGCAAGGATTGCTAGGTATTTGGGTTTGTTTTTCACAGTGGTATTAGTAATAGTTTTATGAGCTAGATATTCTCTGGAACTTTGCTACTCAAGTTTAGACAAGTATCAGCATTATTTGAAAGGTTATTAGAAATGTAGATTATCAGGCACCACCTCAAGTCAACTGAATCAGAATCAATATTTCAAAGTGATCCCCAGTTGACTCTTATACATGTTGAAGTTTGAGAAATACTACATAAGGCTTTCAGTAGCCAAATGTGATCATTATACAGAATTAGCAACTTCTACATTCAGTTACATAACAATAGATTATAGGCAAAATATTCATTAAGCTTTGTAAAAATCAAAACTCTACTGAAAATCAATAAAAATGAGCAATGTACCAACATAGTGTGAACATTCCATTTTGAAAAAGAATTTTTAAAAATCCTTAAGACAGCCATATGAGAGGGGTGATTAATTTAGTTCTATATGACAGAATGTTGACTAAATATCTTTTGGAATATAGCTAGACATTTAAAGAACTTTAATTTTTATGATACAGTGTAGTTAATAGGTTTTGTTTAACAACTATTATGTCAATATGTTACAAATTAGAATAATTATTTCCAGGGCCAGCATTAATATTATCTACATATGTTTTCAACATGTTTTTTGGGATTTTTTGATTTATAAACTTTATTTTTAGAGCAGTTTAGGTTTATAGAAAAATTGAGCAGAAAGTACAGAGAATTCTCTATATCTCTCCCCCTACATAGTTTCTGCTATTATTAACATTTTATATTGCTGTGGTATATTTATTATAATTGATGAACCAATACTGATACATTATTGCTAAATAAAGTCCATAGTTTACTTTAGAGTTTATTCTTTGTATTGTATAGTTCTGTGGGATTTGAAAAATGTGTAATATCATGTGTCCACCATCACAGTATCATACAGAATAGCTTAACTGACCTAAACATCCCTTATTATTAATTAAACATCCCTTATTAATCCTTTCCTACTCCTCCCAAAAACCTTTGTAACCTTTGTAACCTTTACTCTGTCTACGGTTTTGCCTTTTCCTGAATATCATATAATTGGAATCATACAGTCTGTAGTCTTTTCAGACTGACTTATTTTACTTAACTGTGTGCATTTAAGGTTCTCCCATGTCTTTTTAGGACTTAATAGCTCATTTCCTCTTACTGTGAATAGTATTCCATTTTATGGATGTACAACACTTTGTTTATTCATTTACTTATTGAAGGAAATCTTTGTTGCTCCCAATTTTTGTCAATTATGAACACTCATGTGCAGGTTTTTATGAGTTAAGTCTTTAACTCGCTTTTACTAACTGCCTAGTAGTGCATTTTCTAGAATGTATGGTAAAAGTACATTCGGTCTTGTAAGAAATTTCCAAGTGGTTTTCCATGGTAACCATTTTATCTACTCACCAGCAATGAATGAGGGTGCTTCATTTGCTGTTGTCAGTGTTTTGAATTTTACCTATTACATATGCTTTTTGTGGTAATGAAAGTAGCATGGAGTTATAATTTTATATGAATAGCAATGATTAGCATTGGGTTTTATATAGAATTATCAAATTACACATGTTTTTAAATGTCATAAAATAATGTGAAACACACGTGTGTGTGTGTGTGTGTGTGTATGTGTAAATTATAGGAAATAAATTACAGATTGAGTTGAATACGAAGATGGTCTAGACTTGGTTAGACTTCTGAAAGGCATTTTTAAGGAAGTGGTTTTCTTCTGGAAGCTGCACTTGGTACTGACTGGAAGTGATCATATTTTATTTGTTGCCTAGTAACAAATCTAATGCCTTAGGGAAGGACTATTTCTTCTTCTTTCCCCGAACGCTTTGCCTGTCTTCCCACTGACGGCATCCTGTGCATTCTTCCCTACCTGTGCATAGCTCCACAGCCTTTGATTCCTTTTTATAATGAATTTTCTTGATTGCTATTCTTCAAGGAAGAAGGGATGATCTAGGAGCCCACTGAGTACTGAAACAAGAAGGACTATTTTAAAGAAGTGGCCCATGTCACCACATTATCTCAAGATAAAATGCTCCCCAGTCCTTTTCACCTCCAAGAAAGTTGGTCAGAAAAACAGCATCTAAAATTTTCCTCTCTATATATTCTGCTAACCACTGTAGACCAGTTTGATCTTAATTTAAATGATTGATTAATGGATGCATACGTTGAACAAATGTTTATTGGGGTCATGAACCATTTTCCTTTTGTAACTTGCATATTTCACTATTCTCAGAGTTAGCCAATGCTATTTCCTGTTTTTGTGATCATTGCTAATTGGATTAATTACATATTTGGCAATTATGTGCTTTCTCTGGTATATTGCAC